CATATTCAGTGACGCGTTATTTCGGCATCGGTGAAAAAAACATAATAAAATTTAACGGTCCGTCAGGCCGTGGCATCGCCCGTTCCTGGAAGGCCAATAAATATCGGGAACAGGGCGGCTACAAATCTCAAGATAAACACGAGCTCGTATTTTTCTACCCCCTTTTCGGCTTTCTCGTTCTCGCTCTTCTTCGCCGCGTGGTCGCGGCCGTAGCACGAGAAGGGCTCGCCCTTTTTACATTCCTCGTATGAATTATTAGGTGGCCGGACCTAAGGGGTGGACACCGCGGTATTTAATTTTCACTCCCCATTAAAACAGCACGAATTTTTCCCTAATCGTATCCCTGACGATGAAAGTGCGGTCTGCAGTTTGTCACTGACCCTTTGCTTCCTTGTCGATATATTACGCGCTTAGTTTGATGCGAAAATCGGCCCCGTTGCCACTGGGATAATTAACGATGGTTTATTTCCCGATTTGATATACGCATTTCGAAGTTGTCCGGTTCGCAGTTGCATTAATTAATCTTGAAATTTTTACCAGTCACGCGTTATGAACGTGTCAGATATTTATTCGAAATGGAAATCCTGTTACGATGTTCCCTGTTAGATCGAATTTTTCTTACTTTCTATTCGCCGTACTATACGCACATTGTCATATATTTATAAAATCGTGAAAATCATTATTGCCAAGGAAATATGTAATAGAAAATTTTCCATACGATACGGAACGTGTTAGTACAGTGAAAAATTAATGAAGAAAAATTGAATGGAGCACGAAGTAGGTGTAAAATAAGATAAAAAGTATTAAGCGCGGTTTTTCGTCGATCATTTGCCAGGAACATTCCTCCAAATATAATCTACCGTAACTAACCGTGGTAGGGAATTTTCTGAACGACGGCACAGGTAGATTGGTGTAGGTGATGCCAATTAAGGGAGACGACGGCGGTGAGCATTGAACTAGAACTAAGGGCTGGCGGATGCCGATGATGTATGTGGTGGAAAATACTGGAGGCAATCTGTCACGCCATCGACGTCTCGTAGGCGCCATCTCCTCTGTTTTCCTTCGCCTCCTCTCCTATTTTCTCGTATCAACGAACACGACAGCGAGACCTAACAGTCATAAAAGTACATCGATAAGTTACAAAATTCAACACCTTTTTAAAACCTACTAATCGCGACATCTTGCCAAGTACTCGTAATTAAACAGGAATAGCAAGAAACTTTCATCTTCTCATCTTGACAGTGAAAGTCGATAGCAATTGTTAGCTATTAATTAGTCCATGTTGATACAAAATTTTAAACACGAATCTTCATCGTCATGTCATATTTGAAACGCGAGATTCAACGTTAAATAAGTATCACAGAAAGCATATCGCCTGCAAAAGGAATTCTACGATATCGTATTCAGTTAATTCGGTTAATTTCGATAAAAGTGAGAGCGTTGAGGGTAAAACATAGCCAGCGTGCGTTTCAACGAGAACTTTCCCAACACGCGCGAACGCCATCGAGTCCGGAGACGAAGGAAAACTCGGGAAAAACTGGACTTGGAGTGAAACGTGTTCGCGTACACTTTGCATCCGGGGAAGAAGAGCGGCGTAAATAGCAAAACGAGAGAGCACAATGATCCACGTCGGATCGGTAGACGACGACGAAGCAGAGTCCAGTAGTAAACAAAATGCAGTCTCTTCGGCCGCACAAAAGGTACGAGGCTGTTCAAATCCCGTCCTTCTTTGGTATCCGGAAGTCGAGGCGGTTCCTCTTTTCCTTCTTCCCTCTGTCACACGCGCCCTTTCCGGGTATACGGCTGATTAAACGCGCAACTACGTAACGCAACGCAAATATACCGGCCTGCCAGCCCACCCCGGCCAACCCCGTCCAACCGTCCTTCCATCGTTCTCCTCGTCGACCGTCCCTTGAACTGCCGGCTGAAGAGAGGATGGACTCGTTTCGCTCTCGATTCCACCTTTCGGCTCTCTTTGAATTCCAACCCCGGTCACTTGACGGAAATATTTATCGAGGGTCTTTGCCGAGGCCCCTCGTTGCCCTACTCCTTCGGGCTAGACAGCACGACGACAGGGAGGAGCAGCCTGCTCGTACCTCGTCCTGCTACCTTTCAGCGACGCGCCTCTATCGGTACATGTCCTTCCTTTTTCTACCCCCTGCTACACCCTCTCGCTCCAGCTTTCCAGTTCTTTGATCCATTTCATGGAGTTTGTTCGGCTCGGATTATTTGCTCTCTTAATTACATTTCGATCCTATCTCGCTCTCTCTCTCCCGCTTCCTCCTGGTGTTTGGCTCCTCGTTTCGTTGGCAATTTCACCGACAGAACGGATGATCGACAGTTTCGAGTGTTGTTACGTGGATTCGATGGCGATGCAGATACTCTGGGACGCGACTGCGATACTCTGGGAAGCTGGGGCGAGTGTGGAATTCGTGAGACAGGAAATTGTTGGAAACGAGAGAATTGGAGTGATTGGTTAGAGAATTAAATTATTAACCCTTATTCCGTGTCAATCGATTTTTCTAATTTTTATACGAGAGATATACCCCGTTGTGTTGTTATTTAATTCGATAAAAATATTTTAATTTTGAGACATACGAGGAAAAAATTAAATTTTTGGTATCACTTCCGTGTAGAGTCGAGATTCATAATCGAGTTAATTAAACTCGACGCGATTGATTATCTTAATACGTTATACGACACGAGGCAGGGTTATAATTTTTAGCAAGGCAGAGTCCTCGGTGTCTTTAATTAAGGGAAAAAAGTGTAATGTAAACCGAAAACTAGTCGGTGTTATGGGGACTCCCCGTGGCTTGCCAGCCGCAGGGGTTGCCGGTCCCGGAGACCATAGAGGGTGGAACAAAGGAAGTTATCGTCGCGGAATTTTTATAGCGAGGAGAGAAAGAAATGTAAATCAGGTTTTGGTTCGTCTTTGCGTTAAGATGAAGAGAACGCGAGGGATGGAACTCGAGACTGTCGCCGGCTTACCGTGGATCGGAAGTGTTGTCGTATAAAACTGAATTAACTGTGCTCCTGCTTTCTTCTCTCGCGTACGTACTCCTGTCTTATTTATTATAAATATAATCCTGTCGTTTCCATTCTCCCGGTTCCTGCTCGCGCGGTGCTTTACATTTATATCTGCGTCTTAAAATTGAAATACGTGCTTCGTATGGCTCAGACGCATCCTCCGAACGTCGAGTAATTTGTGGTACAGCAAAAAGCCAGTTCCTTCTTCGCAAATGTGCGTTGAAGTTTCTACGCGAAGCTTACTTCTCGATAAAATGAATTTTTGAAATTTTCCGGCTAGGTTTGTTCAACTTTCTGTCGCGTGTCTGACCATGGAGTACTTGTTCCACTTGCGCTCTTGTTCTTAATTCCTTCCACTTAAATTTGACGTAATATTTGACAGTAAAATATCATTAGTGTTAACAGCGATGTCTGTTATATTTCGAATAAATATAGGAAATTAATTTCACGCAGTAAAATTTTACAAATCGTTATTCTTAAATTTAGTAAATTGTGGTGGATATTAATGCAGAATTTGTTGAAATTTATTTTCAATTCAAGCAATAGTGGAATTCAAGTCAGTCCATGGTATTTGGAATAATTGAAAATCGAAGATAATCCGAAACATTTTGAATTTCGATATTTCCAAACGATAATGTTCGATCAGTAGTAAACGTCAGGCATTTTCGCGACGGTTTTCACAGGCAGCGCCGGAAGCGTCGCGAAAGACAGTAACCTCGCGACGAACCGCAACTTTATACGTTCCTGATAATCTCGCAGACAGCACCGGGAACGGTTACTCGCGGTGGCTGGCGGGATTTATGAAATGGCAATAAAATTTATATGACTCGGTGGCTCGTTAGGGGCGCGGCTCGCTCGTTCAGATTGATGTCGGCGCGAGCCTGGTCCACTTGCCCGGGGCTGCGTTTGTTTCTCTCTACGATTGTCGTAGAACGCTCTACTGCCATTATTAATCCCTTGGAAATCGCGGGAGAGCTTCAGTCATCGTTCACCGGAGAAAAATATGGCAGTAATATTTCTTTGGAAAACGGAGGGTTGGGACCGAAGTTGCTCAATTTCGACTGAATTTGTCAGCTCGCGCCAATCGCGATTATGCCTGGCTGCCAGCCTCTCGATTAAAAGGATCGTTGGAATTTGCAGGGAGAATGAAAAATCAGATGGCTGTCTCTGCAGGACTTTGATTTAGATATCAATTTGTTGGTTAACTTCGTAACGCTACGCAAAGTTGCAACGAATTGGTGGACAATCGAGACGATCATAGCGCAATGTAAATTCGGACATTAGCGGATATTTTAATAAATTCGTGCAAAAATAAATTTCTTTACAACGGTGTTTCTGATTTATTTACGATTATGTGATTATAATATAGGAACTCCAAATAACGGTGTAATAAAGCTGCTACAGCATTGAAATTGATAATTTATCAGGAAATATGAGCTTTACCCTCGGGTATAAATTCTCGGTTTCCGTTCCCCAAGACAGGGCCTAAGTAAAAGAATTATTTCCTTCGCGTTTCGTTTCGAGTAGCAACGCGAAGATAAGGAAAAAAAGGGCGCGTTCGATGAGTCACTTATACGGTAAATCACGCGTATGCTCTGTCGAGCATGATGCCTCGAGGACATATCTGGTCTACCTGTTGCTCAATTCCCCATTGACGACAGCAAGGATCGTGCAAAGAATTCGGAAAGTGCACGGGAAAGTATTTCTTCCGTATCCTTCAATTCCACCCTGTGCATAATCCTTGAAATAGGACCACCAAATGAGACGAGACTCCATACAGTGCATCATAGCTAGTCCAAAATCATATTTCGTGATACCAATACTTACTATGTGGTACTGGTATGCAAATTAATTCCTTCTTCGTTGAATTCGTAGAATAGATTATTGTAGAAATTCTGGGAAAGTTGTGAAATGTAAAAATGTTTGCGTGAATGTTTGATTATAGTTACTGACAATTTTCATTCTAATTTCAGGTGGATGATCGAGTCAGGTCGCCAGGTACATCACGATGTTTAACCACCACCATGTCGCTCTCAATTTCCCCCTCGAGCCCTGAGGAACCTGTCACGCTGTAAGTAGAATTTTATTTGAAACTTATTCGAGTATTGATAAGGAGTAAGCGACGCTTCATACCCCGAAGGGTATATAATTCATGTCGAGAATTATTCCCGATTTAAGAAAACTTGGAACTTAAATTCTACATGTAATTTGCCACTTTGATAATTGTAATAAATTCAGCAAGTATTCTGCCACCTAGAGTTGTCTTCGTCACTTTTTAAAAGTACGCCAGGAGTCAAGTCCATTTTTAAATCTCTGAAAATGATCGAAACATTCATAGCTCACTAAATTCGTAATGGAGGTTTCCAGTATAAGGGTCTACTTGATCCCTTAAATTAAAATATTCAGTGTAGTATCCGAAGTATCCGTACTCGAGTAGTATAAGGAGCAATTTCTCAGACAGCACGTCACCAATGAAATCTATATAATATAAATTTATATTTATCATTGGAAGTACTCTTCTTTAGCATTATAATAATAACAGTGCACAGAACATTTCTTCAGTCTGCACAAGAAAATCAATTCTAAAAAAATTCCTTATAAGGAATACTGCAATATTCCTATTTGCCATTTAAATAATACATTAAATCGTATGTAAAAATTATATTTTCATGACAGTAGAAATAAACACACCCAATTAATTAAAGAAAAATTTTAGAAATCCCCTGAAATTAATATTTATTATCGATAAAATCAGGAATACACCATCTCTCAATTAAACGGCGCGACGTATCACCCTCTCGTTCCTCCACGCGAACATGCGAACACATAACAATACCATACAGCATTACAAATGCACAAGGGCCGGAAAGATGGTTGCTCGCGATCCGCGGCGCCCTTTAACCGTCGAAAAAGCCACTCAGACAAATTAGTCCCCCGGCCGTTTCTCTCTCGCGCGAAAGAACATTTCCACGTAATTGTAGACCGCCGGTATTCGGGGCCTGTTCGTTCTTACGCGGGCCACAACCCGGTATCGGTGTCGCGGCACGCCGGGGGCGGCGATATTTATGCCGGTTTTTTATTGCGCTCTAGCCCCGAGAGCAGAATGGAAACAATATGTCACCGGCGGTAAGGGGGTGAAACCGGTGTACGAAGTTCTTGTAGGTGGCCCTGGTCTGCCAGCCACCTAACGTTAATACTAACGCCTACGCCGTGACTGCGCCCCACGCTCGATGTCATGATTTTAAATGAACAACCCCCGGTTTCACCCTGTCGCGCGCCGCCATCGGCACAGAGGGCGAATCAAGCGGGCCGAGCGCGAGCAACCCGCTTCGAAATCGATTTCGATACATTCCCCTGTCGTTCGTGAAACTTTTTCTCCGATTTCGAATTTTCAAGTGCCATTTTTATATTTCATTCCATGATCCATTAGTCGAAGTGGACGTTATTCTATCGGCAAAAATTACAAGATAACGAAGAAAGTGTTTTCATCTGATAGTGTGACTTTGTTTTGATTCTTCGTGCTACTTTTTCTCGGATTTCGAATTTTTAAGTGGTTTGGAAGAATCGAATAGTCTAAGTGGGAGGAGATACTAGTGACAGGAAGGTAACGTGAGATTTATTTTTCAGATAATCCAAATATAAATTAGAGTGTTTGATAGTGTTTCTGGGATTATAAGTACATATGCGTGTATTCAAATAGGAAAATTTTATTTCCGTTTTAATTTCAACGAACTTTAACCCTTTGCACTCGAGAGGTGATTCTTATTCGCCATTTAATCGGATTCTAACGATCGATATTAATTAATATATAAAATTTAAAATTGCCAAACAATGCGTGGAATGTCGAAGTAAAATAATTCTGCATTTTAATTTGCACACGATTTTTCATTTACTGTTTTAAAAATATCGTCGAGTGCAAAGGGTTAAAATTGATCCTCCATATAGTAATAATAATACGTAGATTTGATAATTCAATTATTTTTATTCAAATTTCTCTGTGCTTCTTAGACTCGATTATTATATGTATATTTAACTTCCCTTCGAATTGTAATCTTTTCCCTGAACACGAATATTCGAGTAGATCCGAGAAAAATTTTTGGCCTAGCTCGAAGCGGTCTTGGAGATTAGTTTCGAGTGGTTTCCGGGGGATGTTAACGACATCGTTGTTCCGTGGAAATTTAAATCTGCTGGATTTCTGGCCTGTTATGGCCGCGGAGGTAAGGCCGAGGGCAGAGGAAGGAGAGAAGCGAAAGAGGCCTCGGGTCTCAAGAGTCATCGGATAAGTGCATATCGATTTCTGCCGATTGGCGAGGGTTGGACGGTGGTAAGATCGAGGCGAACGGGAAAAAAAGAAGGCGGTAAAAAGGGCAAAGGCCATAAGTAACGGACCGTCTGGTGGAAAGCGCTCGAGGGCGAACAGTGATTTAGAGAAATTAAAACTTTAATTCATGTTCGAGTTCGCGGGGGGTGTATCCTCCCTTTCGCCTCCCTTCGCCCTCCACTTCGGTCCGTGGCGTTCGGAGTCCCCCTGTTGATCGACCAGAATTCACTCCACGCGTAAATTGGCGTACACCACGACAACGTTGTTGTTCATTTCGATACTCGTTATGCTTTCGTTCCCATTGTTCGCAACCTCCCTTATACACCGCGCCATGTTATATCCCTTTTCGTTCAATTTTTATTCCCAATTCGGTAATTCGTAGTTGATAGATATTCATACGGCGACAGCGGGGTAAATTTATTTATATAAATCCCACTGTGTCGATGTGTCTTGCGAAAGCGAGTTTCGTCCTTTAAGCACACGTCGGCATAGAGTCGAAGAGTCAGCAGATTTGACAGATAAGAATGGGCTGGAAAGCAGAGGGTAAGGAAGCAACAAATATTCCAAATACGACCAGGCATGTCCGCATAGTGGACACAATTATTGTTGTCCTGATTTAAGGGCGGCATGCATTTTAAAGAACGACCATGCCGGATGGCCCTACATGGCCTCTATTTGCACAGGGGATGGATAAAAATTCAGCATCCTCCGATAAAGTAGCGTACAATACGTTCCAGGCACCAACACGCGGCTGGCCAGACGTCTATTCTCGCAAAGACCCCTCCAATGGCTCGAATTCTTTTTTTATTCCCGGATTCGAACAAATGGCGAGTCACGGTTGTATAATCCGACCTATGGGAACCCGCTTTACACGAACGTAAAGAATATTTATTTCTTTTATCACCCTAGTTTCACTTTCGTTCGACACATATACGATAATCCTTTTATTCGCTTCCTTAATTACCCTGGTTCCATTTTCGTACCGCGAAGGAAATTTTCCGGGATTGAAAAAGAAAATACAAGGGTCGCAAAATTGTTTCTCTTCTACCATACTCGCTACGTGAAAGCAACATTCGTATGCTCGGTTTGCGATAAAAATAGGAGAAAAATATTTTCGTGAACGAAGCCAAACCGCCAACATTAATCATCGTATGGACTTAAAAAAGTAGGAGCAAGTAATAGAAGAACAGGCAGGCAGAAGTAACGAAACCGGGAACAAAAGCGAGGAAACACGCGAGAGACACCGCTGTAAATCTGGATTTCGAAAAGATACTCTTGCAACTTTCACGAGCTACCATATGGCATGCGGAATATGAGAAAAGGACGCGCCCTTTATTTTCCTCTCCCTTCGTTGCCCGTTGTCCCTTTCGACGACCTCTCTTCGCCCATCCTCGCCCTTTCTCTCACTCTCTCTGTCTGCATTTTCCTTGCCCGTATTCAGGGCGACCTCCGTCTCCAATAAATTCCCATCACCATCCTCAGGTACGCCTTCGCTGAGTAAATCATACCATAAGTGAATCCGAATTGAATTCAATGAGTAAATATGGCGGTTGAATAATGAAAAGCAACGAACGTGGTGTTGGTGGCGCGAAAGAGAGGCAGCTTCACTGGAGGATGGAAAATTGCTTCGACGCCCGTCCCACGGCCCGTGTAATTGTTCGAAAATCCTGATAACAATTAACGCGATAATATTTTGCACCCGGGCTCGACAAAATTACCGCGAGAACGCTCGCGCGTCGTAATTGTTTGCAGTCTGACTAACGTTACGATTAATTATAAAACTGTAACCATGCACGAGGTACCGACGATTCGAATTTCCCGACGTGGATCGAGTTCCTCGCATAGTTTTAAAGAATCATCTTTCGTTTAATTAACCTCCTCGCGGAACACGTGCTTTATTAATATCATTACCGTGGCCCGTTCTTTCGGATTGGAAATTAGGTTGGATAATTTCTTAATAAAGTTGTAAGTAGAATTAATAAATTCGTGAGGCAATATTTACGATATTTTTGCGTTATTTAATAATTGTAAATACTTTCCCAATTTTTTCTTCGACGACTTTTGTATGATAGTTATTTTCTCGTCCATTTCCATTCCTAGAATTTTCTCTGATATTTTAGAAATTTCTTAGGAAACGTTGGGCACTTTTCGTAATTCTACTCACTCTTTTTGACACTTGCACCATGTTTCATTTATAGTTCCATCTTCAATATATCCACGTATAGTTAATTAAAAATTTATAACGCAAGATTTTCGAGTTCGTATATATATCTCTATCATCAACGTCCTATATTGGAAAAGGTACAAGTCCTATTGTCCTCCACCAAAAATTAAAAGGATAGGGTAATTCGGTACGCAGACACGCCGTGCACAGTTAACCCGAAACTCGTGGCTAATTTAAAAGCGATTCAGCGTCTTGGGTGCGCTCGCACCCCTCGCTCGGCCATCTTTCACGGCGCATCATCGAGGAGCAATAGATGCAAATCGGCCGCCGCACAATGGCGCTGGTCCACGCGTGTGTACGCGGCCGCCGAGTCTAGCGAAGAAGCGGCGCTGGCTGGAAATGCATAAATACATGAACCACGAGGCGAAACTACGAGCGAAAGAGGGACGGGGACAAGCTTGTGGCCCGCATATGCCTCGAGCGGGTTGTACCTCCTAGAGGCGTAATAACGCGTGGATAGCAGCTCTCTTCTCGCGAAAATGCGCCCTTTCGGAATGTCGTGGCTTTTTCCCCCTCGAAAAATACC